AAAATAAGATCTTGACTGACTTTGATAATTCCAGTTCGACGCCGGTCTTTCTGGTCTCCATAGAAATCTCAAGATTTTGTCTGCAATGTCGCACCAACCTCCGTTTTCGATGATTTCTGAGATAATCACCGATGATTTCCTGTCACCCAACCATGCCTCAATACGAACAAATCTGCCATAACTGTTGAAATTCTGGTATAAATTCTGGTATACTATGTAAATATAAGCCTCTATTTTCCTTCCCCATCTCCTGCACAAGTTCCCCTCTCTCCGTGAAGCATCTTTCAAAGCAGCGCATACCCATATCAGTGTTCAAAAAAGCGACCGCTTCCTCGCTTTAAGCGAGAAGCGAAGCGGAGCGCCGGGTGTGTCGCTACCTGTACTAAAAGCGACTCAGGTACAGAAAAGCGGTCGCTTCTACCAAAAAAGCGAGAAGCGGGAAAAGCGGAAGAAGCGGAAGAAGTGATCGCTTCTTGAAATAAACAGCCCAAACGAGTCTTTTTCAATTAAAAGACCCAAATCGAGTGAGTCTTCTGTTTTATTCATTCTTCAGCAGCAACCTAGGGTTTTAAACCAGCCCTTTCTTCCTCAAAAAAACCAACGATTTCTTCCTCACATGAAGCAACGATTTGTTCAAGCAAACTAGGGTTCTTCTTCTTCTTCTTCTTCAACATTAAACAAGTCAACAACAGCTTTCAAGTTTCAACAGGTATGTTTTTATTTTCATTCTTCTTCTTCTTCTTTTTCTTTTTATTTTTCTTTCTAAACGTCCAAAAGCGCCGAAGTGCTGGCGAATTTTTTCCAGAAAATTTCTGCCCAGATTCTGCCCAATTTCTGCCAAATTATATATTTTTTATTCTTAGTTCTTATTGCCTTTCTTACAATTACATGTGTTGTCTATGCCATATTTATTTTAATTTTTTTTAAAAATTCCGCTTCACTTCAAAAAAGCGGGCGCTTCGCTTCTCGCTTCTCGTTTTTTGTGAAATGGGGGTTGTCGCTTTTCCTCGCTTCACGCTATTTTTAACACTGACCCATATTTCGATTTTGATCTTGCCGATGAACCTCCTGCTGCGTTCATAGAGTAAAAACCATCTAACCCGATCTTCAATGATGTCGATTAGTTCAAAAGACTTGTCTCCTGCTGAAAAATAAGCCCTCCCCTCCATCATGGAGGATGGGGACTCCCCGGAAAAGGACCAAGAACTAATCAGAAAAGTTGTTGTTTGAAAGTTGCTCATTCCCCAAGAGAGAGAAAAAAGATGGCTTTCAATAGCATTTTTTCCCAGCTAGCTCTTTTTGGGTTGATATTATAAATTAATTACGAATTAGCCTAAACAAGAAATTTAATTCGAGATCGATATGATGTGAGTATAGATTGATTGAAGGAGTCGCACGGATTGCTCGAGGAGATGTGTTGGTATTTCAGCACGAGTACTATGAGTAGTAACCTTACCGCAATTTGTGTTTCTAGAACTTGCATGATTTGCACATCATTTTAATATGAACATGTACCGACCGTTTTGAATTTGCATGCGGGACAAGTCTTTTACTTGATATGATACCGCTATACTTATTTGAGATGATTATAGTTATTTTGAATGTTCTCATTGTTACTGGTCATGTTTGACCGTTACTTGAGATAAGATTTACTGTTATTGAAATAAAATTACATGATTTGATAAGAACTGAAATGCCCAATATTGTTTTAAAATATTCTCCTACGAGTATTTACTCATTATAGAGACAAGTATAAACGGGAGGAGACTTTGAAGGATCTCGTAGCTACGGTGGGTTCATTAAACCTGGAACACCTTGTAATTACCGATTGTCGTTATAGCCCTCGCTAGTGGGAAGGTAGAACTAGTACACTGTTACTGATTTCCCTCGAGTAGGGACTACCGTTATATTTGGTTTCTTGCGAAGAGGTCCATAGTTATACCGATTACATGATCCGTTCATTGAAACCTCTCAAACATGAATATTTGCTATTATACAGTATTTACCAAGCTTATTACCGAATTGTTAATTGATTTATATTACTTGAAACACATGATGAGACTGATTATTGTTTATTGTTTCTGAAAGGGCATTCTTATGATATTTTCTGTTTAATAAACTAGCATGTTTTCTGACTTGTCCCCCATTAAAAACGATTGTGGTTAAGTGTTATTGTTCATTGAGCTAGCGACTCACTCCTCGCTATTTTTTTCCAGAGACAGCAGTTGACGCAGGAGAGGATTTCGTTAATTAGAGCGCACAAGTTGGTAGTTCTTGGTGAGCCCCGTATTTGTTCGCGTGGGCAAGGAGTTTAATTAATTGTTATGGTTTGAACTCTTAAAGTCACTCCATAGTCATTTTTTTAAGTGTCATGAATATTCTTTCATTATTATAGACTTGTGATAAGCATTGCACTTTCTTATCGAATTTGGAGATGGATTTAGTATTTCTGGCTGTTAGTGGGTGGATTAATAATGGTTGAGAGTTGTTTTAGTTAATTGATAGAGTTATTGCTGATTGGATTGACATTAGGATATTCGGTTGTTGATCTTTGAGACAAGGTAAATTTTTGGATAGTCCCAAAACAGAGGAAACTTTGTTCGATTTTCTGTAAAATATCAATGAGGCTTACTTGGGAGCACTCGCTCCTAAGCGCCGGTCATGATCCTAAATTGGGACATGACAAAGTTGTACCTAGAACCGTGGGGCAGTATGTTGTATGCTAGAAGAATTTTATTATTTTTTCCGTTGCATTTTACTTGGTTGGCACCTTTTTTTTAACAACTGAGGTGCTCAGGCCATCTTGAGCGCACCTCAACTAATCCCACGATACTACTACCTCTCACTAGTAACAGGTTGTCAGGTACCAGGTAACTTTGTCCACTAAGGCTTGGACATAGGGGAAAAAATCACCTACTGTTTTTTTCTCCACTAAGATTTGAACCTGAGACCTCATAGGTGTCACACTTCATTGACCACTAGGTCATACCCTTTCGTGCTACTTGGTTGGCACTTCTGCACCTCAATGTCTTATTATTTGCTAATTTTCACCCTAACTATAACGCAGATAGCAAATTACCCAATACCCCTACTCTCTTTCCATTTATAACGTGTAGTATAGGAAAACACAAATTTCTTATGACCTAATTTCTTTCTTCCGGTTTTCTCTTTTTTTCCTTTTGATCCTTTTTTTTCTCTTCCTTCATTCCCTCTTTTCTTTTGCTCGGGTATGAATGGTGGTATTCAAAAAATAAGTGTGTAATCGATGAACTAGTGATGAAACAAGAATAAGAGAAACGTGTTAGACACAGGTGTACAGTACAACAACAACAACAACATACCCAATGTGTTCCCACAAGTGGAAAACCACAAGTGTATAGTATCTAAGATTAAGGCCTCATTTGTTTTTTTTAAGATTAAGACGTCTGAATCTGAATACACATCTGAATATCAAGATGTGTATTAAGATTAAGGCATCTGAATCTGGATATCAAGATGTGTATTAAGATCTAAATACTGAATGATTAAGACTGTTTGGTTTTAACATCTGAATGTATAAATTTTATCTTTATTTGAAAATTAATAAACATAAAATTCAAAGGAAATACTAATTAATCTAATATTCTATCAATAAAATATATAGTTTTTTTAAAATATGATAGTTGTTGGTGGTGACGGCTAACGGGTGACTGCCGATTAGAGGCGGTGGTTGGTGGTAGTTTTGGTTGATGGTGGTGGTTCAACATAGTAGCTAGTGGTGACGATTATGATTGAGGGTGGTGGTGGTGGGTGGTGATAATTAATAATGGCGGGTGGTGATGGTAGTTGTGATTGAGGAAGGTGGTGGTGGTAGGTTATGATGATAGGCAGTGTCGGTTGCGGTTGTTGATGGTGCTGAGATGGTTAGTTGTGGTAGTTGAGGTGGATGAGTATTGATTGTGGCTGAGAATGGTGGTGGTGGGAGTGGTGGGGATGGTGGGTGGTGATAGTCGATAATGGTGGCGGCTATGATTGAGGATGATGGTGGTGGTGGTGGTTGAGTATGGTGGTGGCGCCATGGTGGTAGTTGATAATGGTAGGCGGTGGCGGCAGTTAATAATGAATATGGATGATAGGATCTTAATGAAATTAAGTCTCTGTTATAGATCTTAATCATACAGACCTATTAAGACCCATTAAGTGGTTGTGAAGTAAAAAAAACAAACACGCTTTATGATTAAGATCTGAACAATTAAGATTCAAACTTTAAAAACAAATGCACTTAATGTCTGAGATTTGAATGATTAAGATTCAGAACTCCATTAAGTGCAAACAAATGAGGCCTAAGTTAACCCAGGTATAAGGAGCATAGTCTAACTACTTTTTAAAATATTGAAGAGTCTTTTGGACAGCCATTAGACCATCCCAACACACCAAGATTGAGACTGACATCGATCCTCTATGGCTCCATGACTCAAAAGCTATGGGGGCTGCTGATCACGCTCTGGTCTAACGGCCATGTTTCATCCACCAGATTTGGTTTTCAAGCCTATAGAACAGATTCTGTCCAAGTAAAGTCGTCAAGACCTCTAGTCTATTCCCATAGCCAAGAGACCTACACTCAACTTACAAGATTAAGGCCCCAAGAAACCGCCAAGCCTCTTTGCAACAAGGATAGTTAATTTTCCTCTTGTGAAGATTATCTTAATATTCCTATTCGTCAAATAGGTATTCAGAGCTTTACTTGTGAAGCTTATCTTAATATTTCTATTCGTCATATAGCTATTGAGAGCTTTACTTTGAGATAAGTCCAGAAAAATGAATGAGATCTTGTCTTATTATACTTGAATAAAGCGAACTCAATTAGCTTGGATTGAAATGTAATTATTAAATGAAATAAGCTGTTCTAGTGATGTCGTCTACATTTTTCTTATGTATATGCTCGTTGAATTATTTCTTGCAACAGTTCGTTTAAGAAGAAAAAAACTAGGAGCAGAGTTGCTAAAAGAAATGATAACCACCTTAGTCAAGCATTTTGCAAAATAAACTGGGTGCAACTTGCTAGAACTATCTGGCATCGCCCAATCAACTTGATAGTCGGAAATCTCAGAATTTTCGACCTGGCCAAAAAAAAACAAGGATACATGTAAGCATAAGAATAAACTAAGACTAGTTGCCTGACTTATATAGTGAAGTTGCAGCAGTTGCTTACTCACCTCTAAGTAATTGTCCAAGAAATAAGTATCATCAATAGAATCACCTATGAAGTTGCTGTAGTCAGACGATTCTGCCCTCCTTTTCTCATATTGGGAGAAATCCATTCCAATCAATGCATTCTGAAGTAATCCAGTCAAACAGAGGTAGTAGAAATTTCAGCACCGAGAAACCCATTCCAATCAATGCATTCTGAAGTAATCCAGTCAAATAGAGACAGTAGAAATTTCAGCACTGACCTACCGGCTTACGACTCAGATATTTCACGACTAATCTACTGTCTAACAACTCAAATTCCAACATAACTACATTCTTATAAACAAACAGTTATCAACCTCAAGACAAGTCTATGTCAATGTCAAAAACAAGACACTAGCCAGTCCATATAAAGCCAGAGGAAGAACTTTCATCAAAAGATTTAACAGGAGGAAATAAAATTTAAAGGGAAATAAACATATTGAAGTCATTGACCGTGACAGTGTGAGCTTGCATTCTTACGCCAGCCCCTTATCGGGATAAAAGAGACGAATTTTGGTAGGTTGACGGCTACCGTAAAAATATCCAATTGGATCACATCGCCACAGAAAGTACAAGTACGAAGAGGATAAAAATGCAGGATCACTTGCGATGGTTTGGTCATGCTTTATATGGACTTCCAACTGCACCACTTTGCAGTTTGACACTATAATGATTAAAGGTGTTAAAATTTTGTGATACCCCAACTGTTTTAGCGGCATGTTGTATATGTTAGACCTTTACATGTTACGTGTACTCATGTGCGCATAAAATAAAATTTCAGGTATAACAGTATTTGTGTATTCTATTGGATATTACATGATGTTTTACTTTGATCAAGTGAGAAATGATGTTTATGATGTTTGGAACCTGTTAAAGATGATTCATATTCGTTTCGAGTTGGTCGGACGAGGTTTGAACAGAAAGAGAACACTTAAATATCACTGGTGCAACATATGTTATATCATGACTGTTTCTTTTAAATGACTTGTCAAACCGGTAAGTTACAGATTATGTTTCCTTTATTTATGAAATACAGATCCAGTTGTGGAGATTAACACCGTGCCTAGACAGAGTGATTTATATTGACACACTTATGTCTTTGGTGAACCCTGAAATTTGTTCAGTGTGGACAGTATTATATTTTTATGGTATCATGAGACTTATGTGTGTGACACTCTAGAGATGCTCCAATAGTTACACTTGAGGTATGAACTCAGTTACGTAAAGAGTCTAGTTATACTTTAGTATGTTAAGATCCTTGCATTAGATCTGCACAAACACGCGGTGTTATGTTGACAATTTCTTTATGATATGACATGGGATGTATGAAGGCTGTTTGTGAGTTTGAGACTGCCTAGAGGATGGTTCAGGTGTCCAAAATCAAGGACGAATCAGGGGAAACTCTGACAAAATTTCTGTAGAGTACAGGTAGGATGCTAGAGGGTCAACTTCCTGTGTCTCGGTCATGATCCGAGTTTGGCCGTAATAGAAGGGAACGAGATAGTCCAAAATTACATTGAGAAAACTTGTCTAGAAAATTCTATAATGACTTAAAAAGAACTGAACACAATAAAAACAAAAGATCCATATAATGATATCAACTATGTCAGACTAGGGCTTAATCATGTTTGTACACCTACAATAGCTTCGGTCTTTGCCAAGAGTCCTTTTAAGTTTTTTTTAGAGGTTTGTATGCCATTAGAGAACCCCTACTTTTTCTATTGAGACAAATTAGGCATACTGGAATGGACATGAAGGATTCAAATAGCTGACCTCAACTAGTTTAGGATTGATACATAGTTATTGTATTGTTCTTATTATTGTTATTGCGGCCATTCTAACATTCAATTCAGAAGACTCCGCGTGAAAAGAATTTAGATGAAGCCATGAAGGTTTCTAGAGGCATCTATAGTTAACGTCTCATACATCTACTTGGGACGAGCTGCAAAAGCAGGTTGGATATTGAGATGACAGCATGATTGAACCTTTAACCCAAGCATTAATAAAGTCTGACGAGAACACAAAGCTCAACCATGATCTTCAAAATAACCACAAAAGACAAGTATCCAAATATGTAGAAATATGTACCACGGGATTACTTGCATCACGATCTCGCAAGATATTCTTGTCATCATAAATTTCAAAGAATATGTCTGAACACATTTAAGGCAAACCATCAACTATGGATAAGGGAAAAGGATCAAATTACAACATTGTGAGGAACACTACAAAAGAAACAGCCAAACCTCCATATTCATCAATCACGTACTGAAATTCTGCCCATGACTCTTGTTCGTGAGGTTCACAATGAACCATGCCAGGGAATATCAACAAAGCATTGCTATTAGCCTGCAATTAAAAAAGAAAACAGACGCACAATCTGAGCCATCCAAATGATATATGCTAGTACTTCTGCCATGAAAACTTTCTCCGCTTCATGTAGAACGCATATAAGATCTAATTTATACAGCATAAGGAAACCTCAACAGTTGTCCTTGCTGTTTCAGCAGCTGTGAGTTCAGTATCACGAACTCTTCTGTGGTCTCGCATTCCTTCAAGAGGGTGATAGCCCTGATTCCCAACATAGTTAGAGGAATCAGGAAATGAATCTGGGTAATCTGCTGCAACTGGAAGTCTTGAAAGGCTACTCTCACGTCCGACAGGCAGCCAATGCAATTGTGTAGCTCCGAGGAAAGGATTCTCAGGCCTGAAACTACATAGGAGCACATATATCAGTTGAAATTTTAAGGACACAAAATTTAATCAGAAAAAGCCAAACTTTGGTAGAACAAGAATAGCAAAAGTAAACAAATTGCATGACAAGTCCAATAATCACTCAGCTAGAGTCTCCAAAATGATACACCGGGAACCTAATCTCTTTCAAGGAGTACATAACTAAACTACCTTGTAGCTGAAAAGTCTCTCGTACATAACTAATATGTTGTCCGACTCTGACCAAACTATTCCTTCTCAACCTATTTAGCCTTGATGGTTTGTAGAATCAAATAATACCAAATTTAATGAAGAGAGAAAAGATTCTAAGTTCATTCCCACTGTTCATTCTAGTGTCGTTAAAGGCAAGCTAGGGGAGCTGTTAAGCCCTGAAACTCGGTGTAATTAAGATGAGTGCTTTGCCTCGCTTAATGTCGACACTTTAGTATAGGTACCCAGACCTCTATCTTGAAGATAGCAGCACTACATAAACCATAGCTGACAAACCACTATTTCTACGGTTAACTTAAGAAGACATTATAGATTTAGTATGTTAGTGATTCTGAAAAGAAAATTAGGATATTGAGGATTGGATTGGAACAAATTAGAAATATTAATCAAGTCAAGCACCCTTCTGTTCATGGGCTACAGATTCTCAAGCTTTTTCTTAATCAGGAGAGATTCTCAAGTTATATACCTTATACCTGAATGGTCAGAGAATCCCTGAACCTCATGTGATGGTTTGATCAAACTGCTTGTAACTCCAACTGATGCTGAGCAACCAACTCCATCAGCATGACATTTGAAGCAATGCGAAGGACCTACAAAAGCCGCCAATATCTTTAGAGAAAAAGCTAAACTAAGGACCACGTAAAAGTTAAAACACACACAAAAAATAATTGATAATACCTAATAAAGACACATCTTCTCATTAAGATGATGAGAAAAGAGTAAGTAGGCTTTCATCTAAATTTTATTTCGAAAATCAAACCAAAATTCCGATCAAATATGTCTAGAAGCAAAATCAGGGGCTTACGAGGTATTTGGTATTCAGTCACCCATAACACTTTAAACAACAACTAACAGTGACTGCCCTTCTCTTTCTGGGTTTCAAGCAGTAAAAAACAATAAATGATATACAAAATTATTTATTTGCAGATAAATGCAACAGGAATTAGAAAAACATTTTACGTTCTCACATATTCTTCTAAACTCTCTTGATTTAAAAGTAAAACTTATCATTTAGTGGAATCAAAATTATAACCACTCAAACTCTAGGCACAGAAAATACAACCAGAAAACCTGCCACTGAAGCAACCAGAGTGCAGTAAAAGCTCAAGGTAAACAAAAATACTCATTAAACAGAAACAGTAGGTTGTCCCACACTGATTGATGTGTGACCAAAGGAAAATAAAAGTAAAATCCACATTTTGATACCATAATAAATGCCAGTAATGCAATATACTTAAAGACATACAGCCACCATTACAATAGAATTTATTGCCAACATCCATCCCTTTCCACAGACATCAAACAATAACACATCCATATCAATACATATACTGCAGCAGCATATCAGAGACAAAATAAACCAAAAAATCAAATTTATTGCTAATGGCTGCTAATTTTTAAAAATTCAAGAAATATGATAGTGCATATCTATTAAAACTTTGAAGTGTAGAAACAGAAATAATTGTCTCTTTTAACAGACACCCAAAAAAATAGAAAGAGAAGATGTTCTAAAAAAGACTTTTTGGGTCTCTTTTGGATCAAAAGGTACAGTAAGAAGAGAAACACGACTATGGACTTACCGATGGAGATTGATGAAGAAGGCGTTGAGATGAACATGAAGAAAGAGACAGTCAAAGAAGAAAAGTAAAGAAAGTGTGTAATTAATTAGAAATGCAGTAGAGACGCAAAAACGTTAATAGGATCGAAGATTTTTGGTCGCTCTGACCCCAAACTAGAGCGAGTCTCAGTGGAAGTCTGATGAGTGGGTCAGCTGACTTGGACACGGGTGTCGTTTTCCACAGGTTGATTCGGAGGCTGGTCATGTGCGGCTAATATGTACGCGTGACTTGTGTGTGCTTTCTTGTTTTGACGGCTCACTTGCTTAGAACGTGATTTGGATAGTGTTTGGATATATATTTGGTTTTTGAAGGTGTATAAAAAATAACTTTTCCAAAAGTAATGTTGTATTTGAATATGTATTTTATTTGAAAAAATATTAAAGCTTAATGTATGGAAGAAAATTATTCAACCAAAAGTTGTCATAAACTATTTTTTATAACTTGAATTTCTTTTTTAAAAAAAATTTGCAAAACTAATCATATTGCATAAACAAATAGTTGTTAAGAAATGAGAGCAATATAGAACAATATAGTAACAGAGACAGCATGTATAGGATGAGAATGTAGAAGCTATCTTATTCAAGTGTGTTTCTTTTGTATCCTTCATAAGATAAAGTATACCCTATTTATAGGATATGGGATACATGAAAGGTTACAAGAATACACCTAAAGGTTACAAATATTAAGTGATGAATTAACTAAATACATAAACTCAAATGGTTCATGGAATAGGGATGTATGGAGTATTCAATGGACATCCACTTTAATATATTCATAACACTCCCCCTTGGATGTCCATCGAAAAGGTAATGTGCCTCATTAAAACCTTACTAGGAAAAACTCAGTGGGAAAACGCCTAGTGAAGGAAAAAGAGTACACACATCTTGTAATACGTATTGAGTGTTGCCTCATTAAAAACCTTACCAGTAAAACTCAATTGGGACAAAACCTTGGTTAAGAAAAAAAGAGTACAGCGCATATTATACTCCCCCTGATGAAAACTTTATTTGATATCTCGAAGACGATGCATTCCAATCTTATGCCTCAGCTTCTCAAATATTGATGTTGGCAATGCCTTAGTAAATAAATCTGCCAGATTATCACTTGAACGGATCTGTTGAACATCTATCTCACAATTTTGTTGAAGATCATACGTGAAAAAGAACTTTGGTGATATATATTTGTTCTGTATAATTTGATATATCCTCCTTTTAGTTGAGTTATGCAAGCAGCATTATCTTCATACAATATTGTTGGAATCTTCGTCTTTAAAGAAAGATCACACAGTTATTGAATGTGTTTAGTCACCAATCTCAACCATACACATTCTCGACTAGCTTCATGAATAGCTATTATCTCTGCATGATTGGAAGATGTAGCAGCTAAAGTTTGTTTTGTTGAACGCCATAAAATAGCGGTACCTCCACAAGTAAATAGATAGCCTTTTTGAGATCGGGCTTTATGTGGACCAGACAAATAACCTGCTTCTGCATAACTTCATTTGTGAATCGGATTCATAAGAATAAAACAATCATATGTCAATAGTCCCTCGGAGGTATCTGAGAATATGTTTAGCACTATTCCAGTGTCTTGGTGTTGGAAAGGAACTAAATCTTGCTAATAAACTTACTGCAAAAGTTATATCTGGTTGAGTATTTTTGCAAGATACATTAGTGCTCCAACTGCACTAAGATATGGAGTTTCATCACCAAGAAGATCTCCATCATTTTCATGAGGTTAAAACGGATTTTTATATTTATGTCAAGTGATCTCACAACCATCGGGGTACTCAATGGATATGCTTTATCCATATAAAAATGCTTTAGGATCTTTTCGGTATAAGTTGATTGATGGACAAAAATTCTATCTTTCATATGCTCAATTTGTAGACCAAGACAAAATTTTATCTTTCGAAGATCTTTCATTTCAAACTCTTTCTTCAAACTGATTACTGCCTTTGGAAGCTCCTCGGGAGTTCCAACGATATTTAGATCATCAACATACACATCGATTATAACAAATTCAGATCTAGACCTTTTTATAAAGACACAAGGACTAACTGGATCATTCTTATACCCTTCTTTCATCAAGTACTCACTCAAGTGATTATACCACATTTACCCTGATTGTTTCATATAAGGATTTTTGAAGCTTTATTGAACAAGTTTCCTGTGAACCTTTATAAGCTTCAGGCACTTCAAACCTTTCAGGAATTTTCATATAATATTTGTTGTCTAATGTGCCATACAAATAGGTTGTGACAACATCCATCAGACGCATATCAAGTTTTTCATGGGCTGCCATATTTATAAGATACCTGAAGGTGATTGCATCCACATGTAACGACCCGGCCAGTCGTTTCATGAGTTATAACATTGTTTTCATCGTTTCTGCTTTCTTCTGAGTTCTTCAGCTGTGTTTTATTGTATCATGTTGCTTGATTTGGGTCCGGAGTGGTTTTGGAGTGGAATGAGGCACTTAGCCTCCTATTTAGAAGCTTAAGTTGGAAAAAGTCAATCGGATGTTGACTTATATTTAGACGGTCTCGGAATGGAATTCCGAGAGTTGGAGTAGCTTTGTAGGGTCATTTGCGACCTGTGTGCAAAATATGAGAATATTCGGACGAGGTTTGATTGGTTTCGGAGTCATTTGTGGAAATTATGAGTTTGGAGTTCTTATCTTGAAGCCGAGATTTGATTCGATGTTTGGTGTTATTTTGAGTGATTCGTAGATTCGACTAAGTTTGAATGATGTTATAGGATGTGTTGGTATATTTGGTTGAGGTCCCGAGGGCCTCGGATGTGTTTCGGATAGTTATCGGAGGAGATTAGCTGTTGAAACAGGTGCTAGGTTGCTGAGGGGAGTTGCTAGAGTTTCAGGGGGGTTCTCTGAAGTTGAGAACGCGACCGCGCTAGAAATTTGCGGTCAGCGGTATGTTTTCGCGGGAGCGGCAGAATTCCGCGCTCAGCAGAGGATGTTGGCACGGACAGCGATGAAGGATGCGGGGGCGGCGGTAATTCCGCGGTCAGCGCTGAAGGACGCGGCGGCGGTGGATTTTTTGGTGGTCAGCGAATTTGGGATCCGGGAGTGCACTATAAATACGAGATTCAGGGTTTTATTTTCATATTTTGACCTAGAGAGCTCGGGCTTTGGCGATTTTTCGAAGGTTTTTCAAGGAATTCATCGGGGTAAGTGATTCTAACTCGGTTTATGCTATTATACATGAATATATCATGAAATCCATCATTTGATTAGAGATGTGGGATGAAAATTGGGGAAAATTTGTAGAACTTTATAAAATAAATTTTTGAGATTTGAAAGCCGATTCGAAGTCGGAATTGAGTAAAACTAGTATGGTTAGTCTCGTAATCGAGTGGGTTGTCGGATTTTGCGACTTTGGTCGAATTTCGAGACATGGGCCCGGGGCTCATCTTTTGAGTTGACTTTTGACTTTTGGCCTTAAGCTTAGTAATTTCTTATGGGATTGATTCCTTTAGCTCGTGTTGATTGTATCGAATTGTTTATGGCTAGACTCGGAGCGTCCGGAGGTCAACTTGAGGGGCAAAGGCATCGCGGAGTAGGATTTTGGCTTGGTTAAGGTAAGTAACTCTTCCAAACTTGGTTCTAAGGGTTCGAAACCCCGAACTATGTGCTATATGATTGTATTGAGGTGACGCACATGCCAAGTGACAGGCGAGTGGGCGTGCACCGTGAGAATTGTGGCCTGGTTCATTCCATGGCACCGCTAGTGACTCTTTCTTGATGATACCATTATTTCTATCATGTAACTAATTAAATGTGCTGTAAATCATGCTACCTATCCTGTTAAGGCTTCACGCCGATACTGATAAGGCCCGAGTGGTCATTTCTTGTTGTTGTATCACTAGATTATTGATGTTATGTACTCAGTCTTACCCATGCATATCATATCATGTCTCAATCTCAATCGTTATTTTTTGATGCATCATATCATTGTTTTGGGCTAGCTTTCATGGCATTGTGAGCCCGTGAGTGAGATTGGAGAGTGATGACTGAGAGAGGCCGAGAGCCTGAATGATGAGTGACAGTTATGGGTCGGGCTGCACGCCACGGCAGATTATTGATTATGCCTTCGTTGGCTGGTTATAGCGCTTGGGACGTAGGATCCCCTCCGGAGTCTGCATACCCACAGTGGGTGCAGATGATATTATTGAGGGATGGATTTCCCTGGACATGGATTTGTCCGAAGTATGGATATATGGAGATGGATTTCTCCACAAGGATGGATTTTCATTTTTCCTCGGTACCGGGTGACTTATAGTCAGTGATAAGTATGTTCCAGGATGGATTTCTCTAGGCCGAATGGTCATATGCGGTACCGAGTGGTTGAGTGTGTATATATATGTACCTGGAGATGGATTTCTCCTCAGGGTTGGATTACCCTTGTTTCCTCGGTACTGGATGACTTGCAGTTAGCGTTGTATATGTTCCGGGATGGATTTCCCTGGGCCGGATGGCCATATGCAGTACCGAGTGGTTGAGCACTTGAGAGTGGGAGCACATGGTGCATTTCATACATTTTATGCATTGGCATGTGGAGTTAGCCAAGCTTTATATTTTATATTGTTCAGATCTGTATATATTTCACCGTTGAGTTGTATTCTTGAAAGATTAGCATGCCTACTTTACTGCACAACTTATTTCTATTTTCTGTTGAGGCTACGTTCGTCACTACCTATTAGTCCAAAGGTTGGACTTGTTACTTACTGAGTTGGTGTACTCACGTTACCCGTTGCACCTTGTGTGCAGATCCAGGTGCTTTCGGTCCCGGTAGTAGTCGCTGATCGAGGTTGCAGACTTGGAAGGTTATTAAGGTATCTGCATGGCGTTCGCAGATTCTTGATCCTCCTTCTTTATTCCAGTTGTATTTCAGTTGTTCCTTAGTAAACATTGTAGTAGACTATGTTATTTATCTAGACGCTCATGTACCCCATGACACCCTGGTTTTGGGCTGGTTGTTTCGTATTATGGATTATGCCTTATGCTTTTAAACAGTTTACTCAATTGATAAATGCGTTTTTCCGCAGATGTTCTAAATTCTAGTATTGTGGTTTGGATTACGTTGAGTTGAGGCTTACCTAGTCCCATGATAGGCGCCATCACGACGGGATGAGTTTGGGTCGTGACAAGATGGTATCAGA